AGGCTTTGAGTGAAAATTTATACTTTACATGCAGAAATGAGACACTGCTCTTTTTTCTTTCTTTCTTTTTTTGGCTGCATTGGGTCTTCTTTGCTACGTGCAGGCTTTCTCTAGTTGTGGTGAGTGGGGGCTACCCTTCATTGCGGTGCACGGGCTTCTCATTGCAGTGACTTCTCTCTTCTTGCGGAGCACAGGCTCTAGGGGTGCAGGCTTCAGTAGTTGTGGCACATGGGCTTAGTTGCTCCATGGCATGTGGGATCTTCCCGGACCAGGGATCGAACCCATGTCCCCAGCATTGGCAGGCAGATTCTTAACCACTGCACCACCAGGGAAGTCCCGGGACACTGCTCTTTGTGTATATTATGCTGCCACTAACTCCCCTTAAAATGTGAACCGACTTCCTCAAGCATTTATTGTATCAACATAGCACAGTAAAGTAGGATTTGGACAATTATTCCTTTAGTGGACACATGTAAGTGAGAGAAGTGTCTCTACCAAAAATATAGAGTACTTCTTAGTGAGGTAGAAGGGGTGGTTTGTGAGAGTAGTAGGGCTCTTACCATATTTTGCTTTCAGCTCATCTCCTTTGGTATTTGCTTCCATGCTTCACATCTTTGGGACCCATCATTGCCCCTGTCCTTGATGAATAAGTATGGTCTTGGTTGTTGCAATATTGCCTAGTTGGAAATACCCTGGACTTGCGAGTCAGAAGTCCTGGGTTGGAGCCCAGATTATAGCATTTACTGTGTGATTCAATTTAAGTTGTTCAAATTCCTAGTCTGTAAAATGGGAATAATAAATGATGTCTGTTCCCACCCCCACTCCAGCTACCTTCCACTCCTAGTGTTGATCAAATGAGAAAATGAATTTCAAAGTGTCGTGTAACTTACACAGTGCTCTGCCATGGGACCCCCCCCCCCATCCCTACCAAATATGGGCTTTGTGAACTACCGCAGGGTTCATGAAATGCCTCTTTCTGTTACAGGACGGTTATTGAGACTTTCCCCTTCTACGGGCCTCTGTGATCACAAGCAGCTGCCCCTTCACCCACCCAGAGGCAGCCTGGACCTCTGTGGGACAGCTGTTTATGATGACATTCTTTCTTCAGTTAAGCTGAAACCTAGCCTCCTAACTTCAAGATAACTTACACTTCTTGGTTCTAGTTTTACAGGGTAACAAGAAACAGTTCAAATCAGTGCATGTCAAGTTATAGAAGTTTATAACTGAGAAAGGGGTCTTAAACTCAGCTTCCTGTTTTTGGCAATTCAATTCAATAAATAAGAGCTGGGGCCTGTCACGTGGGTGCTGTGCTCCGGCACTAAAGGCAGCTATTGTTTCTCCTCCTGATCTCCGGAAGTGGAACCAAAGGGCAGGGAACCAAATGGGGATGAATGGGAAGCAAAAACTTTTTAACTCCTTAATATGCAAAAATGTGGTGGTTTGAATTTTTTTAAGAATCCTTGCTAGAAGAAATAGTACTTGTATTTATTGGGCTCAGCAGACTACCAATGTACAAATGAACATATTTACAAAATGGAAATAGAGTCAAAGATGTAGAAAACAAACTTATGGTTTGTTTTACCAAGGGGGGAAGGGAGGGAGGGATAAATTGGGAGTTTGTGATTGACATATACACACTATTATGTATAAAATAGATAACTAATAAGAATCTACTGGGGACTTCCAGTGGTTTAAGACTTCACCTTCCAATGTAGGTGGTGCGGGTTTGATCCCTGGTTGGGGAGCTAAGATCCCACATGCCTCTCTGCCAAAAAAACAAAACATAAAACAGAAGCAATATTGTAACAAATTCAATAAAAACTTAAAAAATGGTCCACATCAAAAAAATCTTAAAAAAAAAAGAAAAGAATACTGTATAGCACAGGGAAGTCAATACTCCATAATGACCTATATGGGAAAAGAATCTAAAAAAAAGTGGATATGTATAACTGATTCACTTTGCTGTACAGCAGAAACTAACACAACATTGTAAATGGACTATACTCCAATAAAAATTAATTTTAAAAAATCTACAAAAATGAAGACAAAAGAATGATAAATAAGAAACACAGATATCTCTTTTTTTTTTTTTTTTTTTTGCGGTACGCAGGCCTCTCACTGTTGTGGCCTCTCCCGTTGCAGAGCACAGGCTCCGGACGCGCAGGCTCAGCGGCCATGGCTTACGGGCCTAGCCGCTCCACGGCATGTGGGATCTTCCCGTACTGGGGCACGAACCCGTGTCCCCTGCATCGGCAGGCAGACTCTCAACCACTGTGCCACCAGGGAAGCCCAAGAAACACAGATATTTCTAATTTTTATAAGCTCCCATGTGTTTAACAACCTGTAAATGAAAAACATATTTGCACATAGAGAAATGGAAAAATGGTGATATTGCAGCATGATAATGCCTTTGTGAGTGCTGCACTTCCAATGCAGGGGGTGTGGGTTCGATACCTGGTCTGGGAGCCAAGATCTAAGATCCCACATGCCTGTCAGCCAAAAAACCGAAACAGAAAACAGAAACAGTATTGTAACAAATTCAATAAAGACTTTAAAAATGGTCCACATCAAAAAAAAAAAAATCTTTAACAACACAGTAAAGCATCTGTACTCCAATAAAAATTAATTAAAAATAATAAAATAAATGGGTATATTTAGTACCTACTTCAGGGTTTTTGTGAGAAATAAATGAGTTAATTTCCATGAAGTACATAGAACAGTGCCTGACAGTTAATGCCTAATACATTAACTATTTTTTATGAACTTTTGAGGACTGTGAGATTTGACATATTTTTAGTCTACTGTATTTTTTTGAAATAGTATTAAAAAATTAAAAACTGTAACACCCTATTTACCAACCATATCCAATAACAGAATTGGCATGGTTCATCTTTCTGATCACTTTGGTGGTTTCACAAGATGGGACTTGGCTGTCAGAAAAGCTTTATCATGATACTGAAAACCTACTCCCAGATAACATATTTCTTTGGACCTTAGGCCAAATTTATGTATTCTAGGAGGTACTTTTTTTTGGCACTATGAGTTTGGAGAACTTTAGGTGGGAATCAGGATTCAACCCTGCCTTCTCTGTTGTTAGGGTCTCGATATCTGCCTTAACTGTCCAGAACTTTTGCTTGCCTTGTATGTAACAAAAGAGATTTTTTAAATGTTATCTTTGATTTGGAGGTGTGCTAATTCAAGTATTTTGTGACCCATTTAGCTTTTAGAGGTAATGAAACATTGATCAAGAACTTCATTTATAACAGACCGATTCATAATAATCCTAGTGGCTTATTTCACAGAAGCTGTTTCCAGATAAAAAATACTGATCATGACTTCCCATGATGTTTCCTGAAAGGGTAAAATTAAACTGTGGGAAATTCTTGGAATTTAACTAGTAATTAACTTATAAAGAACCTTTTAAAAAAAATCATAACTCCCCCAAGCTATTATATAGCAAAGGACCTTAGGAGTTCAGAATTCTTTTATGTATGTATTTTTTCTTAACTGAAACCCAGTGAGCATTGTCCAGTATCTTCGAGTTTGTAACTGAACTAAAATGATTCTTTAGATAGAGGAGCCTTTGAGTCCAGTATTGGCTTTTAAACCTCAGGTCCAGTCTGGATTTATACTGATGCTGCACGTGTTAACCTAGTTATCTGGATGTAAGTTTACTCACGTACTGTATTATGTTACAATCCTAAATGGCATGATTAGGCTCAACATTTTTAAACATGCAGAAAGCACAAGTTAATTTTATCTGCTAGTCAGTTTCCTTTCCAGACTTTTACTTTAAGGAATGTCAGATTTCTATTTGGGGAGGTAATGAATAGACTACATAGAGTGAAAGGAGTGCTTTCAAGGGGCCACATGGCAGAGTGAAAAGAGCATGATTTGGAAACCCTGGATCTGTGTGATACTGGGGAAGTTTCTCTGCTTCTTTAAAAATCTGCTTCCTGGGCTTCCCTGGTGGTGCAGTGGTTGAGAGTCCACCTGCCGATGCAGGGGACACGGGTTCGTGCCCTGGTCTGGGAAGATCCCACATGCCGCGGAGTGGCTGGGCCCGTGAGCCATGGCCGCTGAGCCTGTGCGTCCGGAGCCTGTGCTCCGCAACGGGAGAGGTCACGGCAGTGAGAGGCCCGCGTAACGCAAAAAAAAAAAAAATCTGCTTCCTCATATGTTAATGGACATAGTCTCTGTCTGGAAAGGTTATAATCTGATGCCACACAGTCCTAGGTGCACAATAAATTCCCAAAAAATGGCAACTGTGATATTTTATATCAGAAATTTGTTCCATTTATGTTTAATATTTCAAAGCAGTGCTGAAAGACATTTTGGTCTATTTTGTGACCGTATTAAATAGCCTTATAATTTTAAAAGGTTATCTAAAGACTTTGAGAGCATCAAAAGGAATACTTGATTTTGGAATAAACTAACTAATCATTAAAGAAATTCTTCTTCTCAATTCCTCTGTTTACTATGTGAGGGTTTTAATGACCATTTCTCCAATTTTTGACATCCTTGTGAATTTAGCTTTAAAAAAAGTTAACAGAATAACTGAAAAAGGATATAAAGTGCTGCCAGGATGGATTCCTCATTCACAATTTTATATTTCATTCCATAATTCATTTTTGGATTATTTGAGCTTTTTATGTTTGTTCATAAAGTGCCCTCAAGGTCACAGGTTGTGTTTTCAAGTTGATCCCCTTGTGAGGGGAAAGGAAAGGATGTCGTAAGGTGCATGTTCACGGGCTGCACCTTCCTCCCTGCTCTCTTATTTTTTTCTGGTTCTTCAGTGGTTTGGACTTTGGGTTAGTACATCAGTGTTCCCAGGAAGGGGTGGCTACATTTTAATGCAAGCTGAACTTATATGCAACCTGGGGGCCAATATTTGAAACACCACATATTTTAATGAGACATAAAATTGTACGGTAAGCCTTCCTTGTGTGTTTAAAAGAAAAGAAGAAAAAAGTAATGTTTTGTTCAATTTGTTTCTCCAGGTTGCATTTTTCTGAAGTTGTTCATTGAGACTTCCCAGCATTCCTGCAGATATAATAGGTGAGTCAATGAAATCAGATACCCTTACTATCAGTGATTCTTTGGAAACCCTTTCGAGGTGGGTGGCAACTTACTTCTCGAAAGAGGTGCAGTGTTCCAAACTTTGGGGCCCTGAATGATAAACACTAGTTTTTTTGTTTTTGGCTAGAAATACCACTTTGATGAACGTACACAAATGTTGTAAAGGACCCTGTAAAGTTTCACTAATGATATTAAGTTTAATGCTGTAAATTCCATACCTTCAGTTCTGACATGGTTTGTTCTGTCACCATTTACAAACAAGTTTAAGACCTCTTTATAATGGGCACAGCTGGCTTTAAGTTGTCTTTCCTTTTGAGCTTCTCTGTGGATCATTCACCCTTTGTTATCATTTCTCTCTGAAAGGGGAAGTAGAGATGGCCAATTCGAATTACCCAATTTTAGTTTTTGATGACAGCATGGGTGGAGGAATTGCCTAAATAAAAATTCAAAACAGTTGACTAATAGGTGATTTATGATTAACTCTATAGATTTGAATTTATAAAGGTCACTTTGGGAGAATATTAGTAACAGAAATAGGGGCTGAGTAACCTCCTACAGTATACATTCAAGGAAATCAAAGTGGAAAGTTAAATAACTGTCCCCAAAGACTTTGATCCAGCTCTGTTTCTCAAGAGGGAGAGGCCTGTTCAACCTGGTCCTGTAGGGGCCTTGCTCTTGTCATGAACTTGAGGGTGGGGCTCAGGCCAAGGGAACCAGTGCATGGTATGTACTTGGGACTGACCGACACCCTGTCCAGGAGGGTCTGCCACGTGCAGGGGATTTGAAGAGTATTTTCACAGATACCATCTCATTTGTGGAAAGGTGATCTTTCTTGTTTACAGATTCTGGGGAAGGAAAAATTGCTCTTATGTCGTGAATTGAACTATTGATTTCTCAAATGTTTTTAAATTGTCCTAACAACTGCTGGTTGGGTTAGGTGGGGAAGCTTGGCTTGTTTTTTGTTTTTTTTAAATGGGAACTGTAAGCACTTATGAGTTATGAAATTATTTGAGCAAAGTTTCTGCTCATGGGAAAGCCGAGGCTGACCCAAGACAGGTGGGTATCCTGTTGGCACTTTTATCAAACTGATAATCTTTATCTGCTCATGTTTATATAGTGGGGGTGGGAGAAACTGATTGTCTATTAATAAAGACTATTAATAAAAAATACATACCTTTCCCTGAGCATTGAAAATAAAGGATTTATTACTTGTGATTTTCTGAACCAGGTGTTCATAAACCTGTTTAAAATTTGGCTAATAACAATCTGCTATGCTCTGTTCAGATCCAGAATTCCAGAGACCTGCCAGCCAGGTGATAATTGGGGTTGCTGGTGAGGCCTGCTTTTGCTCATACAGTTCTATGAGGGGAATATTCTCAACAGAGACAGGCTTGTGCTGGTGAGGGGTGTTTCTTTCCACTCAGAGGCACTGTCTGCTTGAGTGAAAGCGGGTCTGATTGCCATTTTGCCTGTTATGTAATGAGTCGAGTGCACCCCCGAGCTAAGTGGCTCCCATGTTTCCAATGTATTCCAATGATGATTTAGTCCCCCTTTGTGAGTTGTCACCCTGGATCAGTTCCAGGCTGGCCTGTTTAATCCAGCTCTGGGGAAAAGCCAGTTCCATCTGCCAGTGCCTTCAGCAGCTAAGTCGTGTTTGCCCTTGAAATCCCTGTCTCTGAAGATTTAACCAGATAAAACCAACCTGCTCTGTATCTCTTTTGGTTTTTGTTTTTTGAATTGTGAATTCATCCCATGTAAATACAATAAAACTTTACCAAATCAGAAGACATAAGAACAGCCACTCTGATTAACAGCATCTAAATTACGAAGAAATCTGATCCTACCTTCTGCTGTATATGGTCACTCATGTTATATCAGCTTGGTAGAAGGTTTCTCTTGAACAAAGAGAGTCACTGCGGTTTGGGGAGAGTCTTATCATCAGGAGGCCCTAGGCTGAGGCTCCACCTCGGCCGGATGCAGACCTGGGTTGGAATTCCAGCTGTGGTGCAAGCTGGCTGTGTGACTGAAGGCGGCCTTCCTTACCTGATGCAACTCTCATCTCTTTATATGTGGATACTACTTCCTTCCAGAGTGGTTTGGAAGAGTGAACAAGGCATGATGGCAGCGTGCGTGGTACATAGTAGACGACAGGTACCCCCTGCCTGGCTCTTGACCCCAGGCATCTTAGAAAAGGCATTGGACACGGGGTGGAGGGACTGCTCTGCTGGGTAGCTCCTGGGTCTCCCTGGTAAAGTACAAGGCGATTCCTGCTCTGTTCTGCCCCACCTACTCCGTGAGAATTGTGAGGAGGCTTTGAAAAGTAGGAACTTAGGGTGTGTGGTTAGAATCAGAGGGCTTCTATGGCAGGCTTTTTTTGCTTTCTTTTTTTTTTTTTTTTTTTGTGGTACGCGGGCCTCTCACCGCTGTGGCCTCTCCCGCTGCGGAGCACAGGCTCCGGACGCACAGGCTCAGCGGCCATGGCTCACGGGCCCAGCCGCTCCGCGGCATGTGGGATCCTCCCGGACCGGGGCACGGACCCGTGTCCCTTGCATCGGCAGGCGGACTCTCAACCACTGCGCTACCAGGGAAGCCCTTTTTTTTCTTTTTAATCTGACTTTCTGGGCTTGAATCCTAGCTCTGCACCTTATAATTAGGTGTATGACCTTGAACAAATTATTAACACCCTCTCTGGCTCTCACCCTACCTCACAGGATTGCTGTGAGATTAAATGATGTACTGTGTGTAGAGTGGGGCATATGGAACTAGTACCTGGTGAATCTCAAGAAATATGCCAGTAAATTTGCCAGAATACTTTTAGAAGGGAGACAGAGAATCTGACTCAAAAGAATATCCGTGGTTTTAAAATCTCTCCAGTTTGAACCTCGGCTTGCTGTGCTGTCTTTTCTATCATGTTATGATAGTTTAGACCAGGGAAGGTCATCTTTGTCCTGAATAAACTAAGAGTGGCCATATGCTGCCATGTGGGACTCACTCATTCAGAAGGGCAGAGCATTGGGAGTTAGTGTTCCTGGATTTTCTTCATTAGTAAACAGATCTTTCCCCATCTGGAAGAATTCTTACCAGAATTGACGAGATTTGCAAAGTGAAAGCTCTAGACCTGCATTGTCCAATGTGGTGGCCACATATGGCCATTGAGTATTTGAAATATGGCTAGTATGACAGAGGCACTGAATTTTTAATTTTATTTCATCTTAGTTCACTTAAAATTTAGAACTAATAGTTAATTCAGTTATTGGAAAACTTTTACATATGTGTGGGACAACTTGGGCATCTACTTTTCAACTGTAAATTTTTTAAAGTTTAAATCAGATCAAGTATTTCTGATGAAAATGTAGTGCCTGAGTTGAGATGTGCTGTAAGTGCAAAATACACAACAGATTTTGAAGTGTTACTGTGAGAAAAAATTATGTCAATATTTTAATACTTTTTATACTGATTCTATGTGGAAATGATATTTTGGATATTTTGTGTTAAATACATTATTACAATTAATTTCTTTTTGCTTATTTAATGTTGCTCCTAAAATTTTAAAATAATGTACATGGCTCACAAAATTCTATTGGACGGTGCTGCTCTAGACAATCCTTGAAAGAATCGGATAATTTCTAATTTATTAAGTGAAGTACAAGTTTTTCCAATAGACTGCAGATTATGAACGTGGTTTTTTTCTTCTTTTAAGTTTTTTGTTTCAGTTTACCAATTAACAAGTTTAGAGGAATTTAAAAAAATACTTAAAATTGGAAAGAAAAAGAAAAGGCACGTAGCAGATGTGTTACCTGAACCTCACGTGGTACAGCCTGAGGCTCCATTTAGACATCTTGGCTGTAGTCTTTCCCCTCAGCCTTCTTACGAAATGTATGAAGGGAGGCACTCACCGCCATCCGCCAGGATATGAACCCACACACTGTTTTTCAGCTAAATATTCTGCTTCCTTGATGATTGTTGGCTCTGAAATTTGATGCAGATACCTTGTTGCCCGGGTCACATTTTGCCATGCCCAGGAGATCGGTTTAGGAACTGTCATCCAGGAGAAAATGACTTTTAATCACCTATAGCAAGTAGCACTCCCTTCTTACTGTAGTACCAGAAATACAGAGATGCATTCCGAAGGGAATAATTGCTGGCTTGATGTTTAGTTGTAACTGGTGTGTGTATGAAACATGAGAAGATAATACAATGAAAGTCATTGGTATTCTGTTTCACATTTATGCCCTGGGTGACACTTAAGTGTATTTTAAGTGGTGGGGGGAAGAGTGTTAGATTCAGAATCATCTTGGTCTGGGTTTGAGTCCTGGCTGTGTCACAAAGTGATGGTAGTGAGGTTTCCTAACTTCTCTGATTGTGTTCCTGTGTAATTGGTGCCAACAAACACCAGTCACTTTCCTTGTCAAAGTTCTTCCATTGTAAGTACTTTATCTGTGACACCCGCACCCCTTTCTGTAAGAAACATGGCAAATACCTTGCCGTCCTCATACTTTTCCATACTGAGCAAGTGAATGAGAGAGTTTACTTTCTAGTACTGTAAACTTTATCTAGGAATTAAACAGGATTTGATATTTATATATTAGATAGAAACCATTATCAAATTTCATGAAGAATCTGAAATTCACTGTTTTTAAATTACAGTATTAGAGTATAGAATTCATTTCCACCAGCAGCTTGAAAGCAGTTAATAGGAGAGGAGAAGCACTTAGTAAGAGAGGATATTATAGCCTTGTCCTTTTACTGAGGGTAAATTGGATGAAATGTACATTCTCTGGATAGAAAATGATAAAATAAAATTTAAGTAGGCAGTGGTTTACAAGATTTAACAAAAGCAAATCAAAGTAATTAAATGCATTAAAGACAAACTGAGTGCAGTTCTTTTTCTGTTTCTGTTACTTGCATGTTGATAGGTTGTCTTTTTTCTGGTCAGGAGTCTGGCTGTAGACACTGTGCCTGTCTGAAGGAGAGTTCTG